AACTGATCACGTAATTTTTCTGGGATTCATTATATCCTCCTAAGGCATATCTGCTGACCCCGAAAAAGTGCGAGCAATCAATGAATGGCCTGAACCTAAGAACATTAGAGATGTTAGAAGTTTTCACGGACTGACCACATTTTATAGGAGATTCATCAGAAATTTTAGCACTATAGTGGGTCCAATCACTGACTGTCTAAAGAAAAGAGAATTTCACTAGACGATGTCTGCCTCTAAGGCTTTCGAGGAGATAAAGAGAAATGGTTGAGGCACCAGTCATGCGACTGCCGGATTTTTCTAAGATTTTCGAAGTGACATGTGATGCATCTGACATAGGCATAGGAGGAGTACTATCCCAAGAGGGACACCCAGTTGCCTACTTTAGTTAAAAGTTAAACGACATTAGGCAACACAACCACCTACGATAAAGAATTTTACGCCATCATTCAGTCACTCAGATACTGGAGACACTACCTGCTTCCCCAAGAATTTGTTATTTTCTCTGACCATGAAGCCCTACGATATATAAACTCCTAAAAGAAGCCGAATGCACGTCATGGTCGGTGGGTTGAATTTTTGCAAGAATACACTTACACGATTAGACACAAAGCGGGTTCTGAGAATAAGGCTGTTGATGCACTTAGCCGTCAGATGATGATCGCTCGTGAGATGAGGACGGAAGTGATAGGTTTCGAGCGACTTAAGGAAGACCACTTGGATTGTCCTGACTTTAAAGAAACCTATTCCGCTTTAACAACTGGAGGTGAATGAATTATGGATGATTTCATGTTGGAAGATGGATATTTATTCAAATCCCAAAAACTTTGTATTCCCAAAACGTCTCTTTGCGAATTTCTTGTTTGGGAATTACATACTGGTGGTTTAGCAGGACACTTCGGTCAAACTAAAACGATTGTTGCGATTGAGAATCGATTTTTCTGGCCAAGTATTAAGCGTGATGTAAGCAAACTAGTTAAGCGATGTCACACCTGCCAATTAGCCAAGCATAGAAAACAAAACACAGGCCTATATACCCCACTCCCTGTACCTAACTCTCCATGGCAAGATGTGAGCATGGATTTCGTCCTTGGACTACCCAAAACTGTTAGAAAGCATGATTCTGTCTACGTGGTAGTTGACTGATTTTCAAAAATGGCACTTTATCCCTTGCTCTAAGACTTTCGACGCTTCCCTCGTCGCAAAACTTTACTTTAAAGAGGTAGTTAGACTCCATGGCCTCCCCAAAACCATAGTGTCTGACAGAGACGTTAAGTTTACTAGCTATTTTTGGAAGACTCTTTGGCACCACATGGACACCAAACTCCAATTCTCCGCAGCCTTCCACCCCCAAACAGATGGGCAAACTGTAGTAGTAAATAGAAGTTTAGGCAACCTCCTAAGAACCTTGGTAGGGGAAAACATTCGAGATTGGGATTCTAAACTACCCATAGCCGAGTTCGCTTACAACAATTATGTGAATAGAACGACAGGTCTAAGTCGCGCTGAAATTGTGTATGGATACCAACCTAGGCAATCCATTGATCTAATCCCCATGAGTTCATTAGGTAGAACGTCTGAGTCTGCATATGCATTTGCATCTCATCTCCAGGAGCTTCATAAAGAAATTAAAAGATGAATTGAATAAAGTAATTCCAATTATAAGCTTATTGCGGATCACATGAAAAGATTTAAAGAATTTGAGGTTGGAGACTTTGTGATGGTACGGATCCGTCCGGAGCGTTTTCCTCCAGGCTCCGTGAAGAAGTTGCATGCTTGAAGCGCCGGACCTTTTAAGATTTCAAAGATAAATAGTAATGCTTATGTGTTGGACCTCCCTAAGGGTTTTAACATCAATCCTATATTTAATATAGAAGATCTAGTAACCTTTGAGGGACCAGAGTTGAACCCTAATAATCCACTTCAAAATGAGCCTTGTGAGAACCCACCTAGTGAGATCTCCAGCCTACCTCCACTCCCCAATTTACTCCATTTACCCATTGCGGAGAAGGTTGAAGCTATACTTGACGATGAAATCATCTCCATGAAGGAAGGTGGATGCCAAAGGTACTTGATTCGCTGGAAAGGGAAGCCGGTGACAGAGGATACATGGATTGATCGAGAGGAGTTACAGAGTTTGGATCCAGATCTCCTAGAGATGTACGAGAGCTCCAGAGATTTTCACTCGACGGGGTTGAGCTTGCTCCCACTCGGGGAGAATGATGAGGACATAGATCAGAGGTTCAAATATGTGTATCGCCGAAAGCATCGCAGATCGACGGCCACGATTGAGAGTTTATATTTTTAATTATTTATGCATTTTATTTTCTTTGAGTCTTCCTAATGTACCCCTATTATGAGTTGAGTCATGTTGTAGCCCTGAGGGCAATTTAGTCTTTGTTCATTCTTTTATGTTAAGACATATTTATAGGTCATTTCTATTGTAATGGGATGATGAATATTTTGAATGAAAATTTTGTTGTTGTTGTCTTCTTCTTCTTTATCTTGTGGTGCACTAGAGAGGAGAAAGAGAGCCCGAGGTGAGGGCAAATGCAATACCCGCCAGTCATTGGAAGAGTCCGTGAGTCGTGGTCTACCTCCTTCATCCCGTTCTTCTTTCCTTCCCTAACCCGCCAGCCCTAGCCTTTCCCTTAGCCGCCGACCACACATCCTTCCCCTTATCCCTCACATCATTTCACCCACTAGCTTCCCCACTTCAACTCCAAGCTCCATCAAGACCCACCCCAACCCGACGGCAAGATCTGCCCCCTCCCCTTGACCGCCAGCCATCTTCCTTGATCCTAGTCGTTATGATGAATTCGTTCTTCATAATGACTCTCCCATAATTTAGATCGTGCCTTAAAGAAGGGAGTTGTTGAATTTTGAAATTCAAATTTCAAATTCAAAAACTTAACTTATTTGCAAAGTCTAAATAAGAAAGTTTTTCGAATTCAAAATTCAAACGGAATCTGATTGAATGACTCATTATTTTCCCCTCATAAGTTTCGAACTCATTTGGAAAGGGATTAACTCTCCCTAATCACTCCTCCCCCTCTCACAATGCCGCCGGCCTACTAGGGTGGAAATCCCTTTAATGCTATTTTAATGCATTCAATTCACTTGATTCAAAATCCAAATTCAAATTAACCTCCCTCCAAATTTACTCAAATCTGAAATTAAATTCAGATTTTGACTAAATCCCTTCAACACTCCACCTAACCTAATCTCCCCAAACCCTAGCCGCCTCCCTCATCTATACCGCCGACCCCTCTCCTCTTTCCCCTTCCCCACTTTGGCCGGCCCTCTCCTTGCTCCCCTTGGGCAGTTTGAAGCCAAGAGAAGAAGAAGACGACACCTTCCCACCTCCACTTCAATGACGTATGGCCGATCCTGAAGTTGATAGCGGATTCGTACTTGACGTCTACGGAGACATCCACATCACTCGATCTCCATTCTTCGACGTCGGGTTTGGTTTTGACAACACCGTTGAAGACTACTTGAATCGAATCCTCCCCACCCTCGTGGACGTCATCGACGACCAATTCTCGGACTACGAGTGGACCATCAACGGCTATCCACCCGAAACACCTCCGACTCCGACTACTTCTCCACCACCGTCGACCTTTTCCGTGGATTAAGATCGTTGGTGTCGCTATCGTCCTCGTGGCATTGTTGGGTGTGCTGAAGACCTTCTCCCGCTAAAGTCTAGTGTAATGGAGTGATCAATCCCCGAGGTGAAAACTCTCATTATTAAATCGTGGATTGTTGATTAAGAGCTTTTAGTATTGCTATTATCTTTGTTTATCTATGAGATTTGGTTAATCTACATGTACTCCTTCTCCAAAGCAAGTGGAAAACTAAGACTCTTTAATAAATTTGCTTGTCATCACAATAAGTTATTGATTTGGGATTACATTGCTATTAACTCTGAAATTTCTTAATAAGCTCCTGTGCATTTGGTTTCACATCACATTTCCTTCAATTTTTGTTAATCCATTCAAAGCCTTGTAATAAATGAAAAAAAGTTGCATAGATAAGTCTTTCTGCATTCTTATTATGAATCATTTGGAAGAGATAAGCAGAGTTATGATTTTTCATTAGGAATTGATCTACATAATATACATAACTAAGTATAATTGTCTTTTAATATCACTGAAATTGATGTTTGCTTTGTATAGTAAAAGGACAATTTACATATGCAGTTTTTTATTTTCATTTTATTCATGAATCTGATATGTAAGAGGGCAGCAGGCCAGTCCAGCTAGAACTGGACCAGCAGGGGGCGGAAAAGGCAAGGGATTCGGCCCCCCTTTTAGGGCCAATTAAACCTATAATTACATATGTGAGAAGATGAATTAAGGAAGGGATTAATTAGGAAGGATTTCAAGGATTTCTTAATTGAAATTCAAATTGGAGTGGAAAATATATTAGGAAATGGGGGATGATTTAGAAAGGGATAGGAAGGATTTTCTAATTGAAATACAAATTAGAGAGGGAAATATATGATGAGGAGGGGGAGGGGGGGCTGATTTAGGAGGGAAATAGGAGAAGCTTATTTGAGGCTAAGCTTATGATTTATTTTTGTTTATGCAGAATTTTATTTAAGAGTTGCTATAGTTCTCTTTTTGTGAGGGCTTCCTAGTGGCGTCTAGGAAGTTTGGGAGAGCTAATCTATCTCTCGAACTATAGATCGCTTGTATCTTTCTTTCTTATTGAAGTTATAATAAAAAATCAATCATCTACATTCGTATTTCTGCACTTTTTCAATTGTGTGTTTTGCTATTTTTGTCTCCAAGGTGTATCAGAATCCTTGGAGGATATAAGGTGATATTGGTTTATCTCATGTCAAAGATGGAGTAATAGAAAATGCACAACTAAATATCATTATTTTTGGTATCATTGAGAGTGCATCTTGCTAGGTGAATACAGCTTATGTCTAGGGAGCAATTTATTATTGTTTGATTTCTTATTTTGTTGCTCAATGCTACTTTAATTAAATGCAGGCAGAAATTCAGACAGAAAGACAAAGAATATTAATGTTGGATACATCCAAGTCACCTGTTGAATCTATAAGATCGGGGGGAAGATACGATTTCATCGTGGAACATGATGTTAAGGAACTAGGATCTCACACGTTGGTACCATTTGCATGTGTAACAAATATTTTTCTTACTCTTATTATCATTGGTAATTAAGTACATTGCTCTTGTAATCCTAGGCTTGTTTGCACTGCGCTCTACAATGATGGTGATGGGGAGCGTAAATATCTTCCACAATTTTTTAAATTTGTTGTTGCTAATCCCCTTTCAGTTAGAACAAAGGTAATCTTCCATTTCCTTATGAGGAAGATAAGTTATCAACGCAAATAAGTGATATACTTTATGCTATGTTAAGATTTCATTCATTCTTTTGGTTTCACAATTAAGAATTTTAAGGTCTGTATATTTGAGATCTAAAGCAGAGTTCCAAAATGTAGTTAGATTGCTATATTTACTTTGAACCTGATGAGATCCTCTCTTATGTTTCTGCAGGTTCGCACTGTGAAGGTAGGCTTTTAGTTTGATCCTTGCAACTGATTGTGAGTAATTATCTCATATACTTCATAACTGCTTAGAGTTTCCAAGTTTCAGTCAATATGAATGCAATATCCTTTCTAGCAAACGACATTGCTCTTAAAGCTTATGGATGTCATCATTAACTCTTTTTTGTTTTTAATGCTTTTTCTTCAGTTGCTTCATGGTTAAAATTTTAAACAAGTTATAAACATGATTTCTGATAATAGGCAGTTCATTGAAATAGTTGAGCGAATTCTTATTTGCCCAGCTTACAAAGAAGCATGAAATAGATTTAAACATGGCATATGATCTTCAACCTGGCATTCTTACTCAATTTTTGGATTTTGATACTAAAGTATTCTCAATAAATGTAATTTCGATACTATCTTTGAACTATGCCCCATAGGCAAGTGAGAGATTTTAGGGAGGTGACAAGAATGTTCACATACGTTTTATATCATTTATGTGATATAACATATTGCATTGCAAATGTTAAGTTTGATTGAATTTGAGATATTGAAATAAAACTCTGATTTAAAAAAAATATCAGGAGACCACATTAAATTTATATTATGGATGACTTATATATTAAATCTGATGGTCTTGCATTTTAGATTTTATATATATATATATATATATATATATATCAGCTTCTAGTCAATTCATTTTCTTTCCTATTTAAGGAGGTGTTTTGGGCTGTTGTTGGGAGTTTTTGGAGGTGAAAAGTATTCTAAAACCTGAGGGTTCTTTTCTAGCTTGAGAGCTACTTCTTCTCTACTTAGTTCTTCTTCCAAGTCTTGTTTCTAATTCTTATTTCCACAAGTTTCCACCCCATTGTATTATTCTTCTAAAAGTGTGAGTTGTGTTGGTTTGTCAGTTTTGTTGGTATTTGCCAGAGTTGTGGTGGACTTGGATCAAAGTTGATGTGGTGGACCACTGGTTTGCATGTCCTTGAGCATTCTATTTACCTAATTATAGTTACATGTGAGGTGACCTCTAGTTGGTTGTTCTTAGAGTATTTTCTTTTTATTTATGTTTATTTGGTGATTTGCTTCTTAAGTTTTGGATTGAGTTGTGTCCTACTTTCTTTTGTGTTATCCATTGGGTTTAGATCTTCCTAGTTCCCATCAAGTATGACAAATGGCATTGCCTGTATTATTTATGGTGAAAACCTATATTCAAATTCCCTCCACCCCACCCAAAAGATCATCCAAAAAATGCTAAAAGAAATGATAATCATTTGTTGTTGTGTCTCGTTTTGTTAGACACATGATTAAAATAAAAATTACTTCTTTTACTCTTGGACATGCATATGTTGTGTCTAACTTGTGTTGGCATCTGATGGACTGGTCCCTCCTTGATTGGTCAATACTAGGTCGGCCCCTCTTGGATCCACCATATTTACGTAAGGTGGAACAAGCTTTTGCCTGATTGAGGCCGAACTGGCTTCTGCCTGAGTGAATCCTGCCCCTTTGGGGTGGGGCCTGGGGTGGAATTTGAATGAGAAGGGGGTGGCTGGGAGGGAAATTTTTAAGGGAGAGGGTTGTTTTGGAATATGTATTGTATTCCTTAAGTAAGTTGTTTACCTGGGGTTCAGTTTTTATGTTTTGTTTGCTGAAATTGAAGTTTGCTTAGGTGAGAGGGCTCTAGTCGGCGGTTAGGGATTATGAAGAGCCGGATCTTCCTCTCCAATTGAAGATCCAATTGTATCTTGCATTTTTTTTCATAGTTCTTGCAATAAAAAATTTTCTTGAATCTTGGGTGTTCTTCTTCCCAATTTTCTTGTGTCTTTCACAAATCTTTGCTAAAATAGCATTTTCTTCCTATCAAATTGTTATCAGAATAGTGTCCTTGGTTAAAATATAAGTCTTCATTGCTGATTTCTACTGCATTTCCTTATGTGGCACTCATGTTGCGGGGAGAAGCTTTTCCATGGCCTATATTTGTAAAAAAATTTAGCTGTGCTTACGCTGTGCATTCCATAAAAGGTAATATAGGGAATGTTATGGGGGATCTCTAGTGAACTCCTGAGAAGATAGACATTTTAGTGCATTAAGCACACAGATTGGATTGGTCTTGTTGCCCATGTCAAGCAAGATGGACATGGGTGGAGAGTAGAGCCTCCTCACTCGTATTAAGAATTGCGGACAAAGGTGGCACTGTTGACCCAAGCTAGAACAGACCCCTATCAACAAATGAATGGAAGCATCCTAATGACTGCAAGAGAACGAAGTCAAGGAAACTCCTCTTAAAAGCTGCAATTTAATAACTTAATGAGGTTCTTGTTCGTCATTGTCATGGTAATAGGGTTTCTCAATCTTTAATTGCAAGTTCTTTTCTTTTGTTTTACCCTTCACCTACTTTATTCATAGAGAGAGAGAAGGGGATCTCCGCTTGGTTTATTGTAAATGCAAAAAATATGAAACTAAAGCCTACTCGAGGAGGGTTAGAGGGACTGCTGCACGTAATAAGGATTGGGGATGATGGTATGTGCCTATGTGGTTCACTCATTAAGTGGCTTGTGTTCTAGAAAATGCAATTTTGCATGCGCGTTTATACTTTGCTTTTATACGAGTGGTGTATATGTGTCTGACACGCTGACTTGCTTCTGCATGTACCTGACACTTTTAAGTATGGGTTCAATTTTTGAACTTTTAACTGTAATTGAGGGAACCCAAATGATGCCTTTTTAGGTTTGCAACCAATCCTAGGACGTCAATAGGAACCCATTTGAGACTGCAAACTTGATCAGCTGTTCTGGAGTGGTAGCTCAATCCGATGTTGTACTTATGAAACTTTGGATATGCCAATATGGGATGGGTATAATTTTTCTTTCTTCTTATTGCCATTGCGTAATGTCAGCTCTCTGTTTGTCATGGCTTTCTACTGTTTTCTTCTACTTCCTTGATTAACAAATGTTTTTTAGGATGTTTAAGAAACATTGATGAAAAAAAATCCAGTTATATGAAAAGCCGTAAAGCAACTTTCATAATTGGTTGTTTAGGTAATTTTCCATAAAAGCACTTCTTATGGATTTTAATTATCTTATCCAACTAATAAATTAATAAATTAATTATGTACTAAATTAAGATTGGGAAATTATATTATAATTACATGAAATTCCTAATAATGTTATTTTAGTCATTCAATTACTTCATATCCGAGTGACAACAGCTTTTTAACTAACTACAACAACTCTTAGAACACTTCAGAAAATAATTTTAACATGATTTTACTAAGCAATTATCTGCTTTACCCGAAAGGATGGCACACTATACTGTAATGGAATTTAAACCATCACTGAGCATCAAGTTGATTCGGATTTCTTCATCACTAAACCACTTTTGAGTTTGAAGTTTTCAATTGCCTCATTTCAAAACCAACCTTTGTTTTTTTTTTTTTTTTTTTTGGTTTTGGTTGGGTGCTGGAGAGTTGTTTTCTTCAGTTGAATTGTGTTATAGTGGGGTTTTGTTCATATTCTTTATTTGTTGAGTAGGGCTACTTTCTTCCTTTTTTAGGGGGGTGTTATCCTCTCTCTCTCTCTCTCTCTCTCTCTCTCTCTCTTCTTTTCTGATTTATTTGTTAGTGGGGATGGGGGAGGTCTCTATTTTTTTGGGCTTCACATGGGGGGAGATTTTTTCTTTTTCTCTACTTTTTCTTGTGCTGGAATAGGGATGGGAAAGTTTTATCTTCCTTAGAGATGGTTCTTTTACTCTTTATTTGTGTGTGTAGGAGTGGATGGAAATAAATAAACATTACTAGACCTTAATTGATTTTATCAACTACAAAATTAATATACTATCATATTGCAGCTTCATATTAAGCAAAGGATTCCAGCCAACCAACAATTAATTTAACTTTTATTTTAAAATTGCTATACATTGGCAAATGGAACATCATAACCTTTGAAACTATTTTTTGTTTTTGTTCCAAATTGGTAGAGCTGTGAATTTGATTGAAATTTACTTAAAAGAGTAGATTGTTTTTTTTTTTTGGCTCAAATCGTGCTCATGCTGAAGAGCTGACTAATGAGCATACCTGATTTTCTTGAATTGACCTACCCTTGGATCAAATTTGGCTAGTTTAAAATCAAATCAAAATTTGTGCATATGTTTACATATATTCATATATGAAATTATATCTAAATTCATGATGTTGTATTTATTAATTTGTATATGTAGATGCCTGTATAAATGATGTATTAAGAATTCATCTTAGAATGTCAAAAATAGACTAGAAATTGGATTGAATTTATTGAGCCGTGAGCTTACTTAAAGATAGGTCTGACTCAGCTTTAGGTTGGACTAATGCTCATGTTGAAACACGGTTAAACTGGTTCAAGAGGATAGTTGACAGTCCTAGTAGTTGGATAAATCACTATGGTGTAGTTAGAGAAAAATGGCTACTTGCTGCTGAAAATTTCTTCTATTTAGCAAGTAAATCCTATTCCTATGATTGATCAAGAGACTTTTTAGCACTTCTCAGGAGAGTACTTTTTTGGAAGCATGTATTGAGAACCACACAAAGTCAAACCTTTATATGGATCAAGTTGAGTTTGAGCCAGCACAAAATTGGAGTGCATCAATTTTGAAAGCTGATGATAACATCTCTAACAGCAATGCCCAGACAAGGTAGTTAAAAATTTTCCCTAATTATTTCTAGCACGCTAGCTCAGCTATGCCCCAACTATTGTTTCCTTTCAATAATTGAATTTAAAAAAAGAGCTTTTTAACTACTTTATTTATTTTGGTGTTACTTGGACAGTGAAATATTCAAGTTGCCTCTTCTTATAAGAGCTGGAGGAGGAATATTTAATTATCTCTATCAGTTAAAACAATCATCACAGGAGAGTGGACAAGTGAAGGTTGGTGGAAGCAATATTCTTGGTAAACTTCAGATCACTTGGCGCACAAATTTGGGGGAACCAGGACGCTTGCAAACCCAGCAAATTATTGGCACAGTAAGTAGATAGGAGTTCTTTGTCTCATGGCTTGAAATGCTCTGATAACAAAAATGAGCCTTTTTTGTTTCTTCAGAAAAGTGAAATTAGCAGTTTAGTACTTTAATGATTTTATGGGTCTATTTTGGTTTATCCACTATATGATCTGGATTTTGTCATTAACCTTGGTCGTTGCTGATGATTTTGAAGATTTTAATGTAAATAGTAAGAATGCCTTGGTAATTGTGCTGAAGTTGTGATGGTTTTTAATGAATCTAGATCAAGTCTAGTTCACCTGACTGAGGTTCATTAGGCCTAAGAGTAGCATGGAATTATTTTCTTTAGGTAAATATTGGGATTTTGTATCCTATTGTTGTTACATTTTCAATTCATCCTTTGGCTACTTTAAGTTTCTCTCTTGTTTTTGAATTCACTTTCCTACCTTGTAACCCCTTATCATCTTATATCTGATTAAGTTTACCCTGTACACCTTACCATTTACATAAAATCATTTGGCTATGGCGTGCAGAAGAATAATACTAGGTGCTAATTTCTTTGTAATGGAAGGTAAATGATTGCCTGCTTTCTTCTTTATATGAAGATAACTTGTGGTCCTTTGTCATTTGCTATGTCCTATTCCAGACTCCTGATGTTACTGATAACTTTTAATTTGTTCTACTATATATCCAATAATATATATAATATGTATTTATTAAGAAATTTTTCCTCCGAAAATATTACCTTCATTCATATACCTACAGAAAATATATGGTCATCTAAGAATGCATGCTCTTCTTTTGGCAGCCTCTCATTCAGAAGGACATTGACTTAAAAGTTGTTGCAGTGCCATCTCCCATCATCCTTGAGAGGCCATTTATGGTAACATACTAAACTTCAATGGAGTTCATGTGTATTAAAACTTAAACTGTGTCTTAGGTTGCTTGCAGCTTTGAAGTGATAAGTTGAATTTTAATTCTATGACGTTTTGTATTATAGATGTATAGGCTGATAACACATAATAGTTCTTTCTGTAATTATGAGCAGCATGCACAAGGCTTACAATTTAATATTTGTATTTTTCTGAATAGTAGGTGCATGTTTGAATGCAATTTTTTATGTTTCTCCAGAAGTCTTACCTACACATAGGAGGCCTTGTTTCATCATTGGGGCATTCTAAACTTTTTAAATCTTTTCTTTATCATGATTATTCTGGCTAATTTTCATCTAATGTTTAGTACAAAGGGATTAGAGAAAATGATCAAACTGGTCTCTCAACTTTTTGTGAGTTGATTAAAATGGCCCCCAACTCTTTTGAGGGATCAATTTGGTCCCTTAACTTCTTAAAAGGGGCTTTTTGATCCTAAAATCAAATTTTGAATTACTGGTGTTAGATCAAAAGTTATTTTAGTTATTTTTTAATTAAATTATTTATTAAATATTATTATCAAGTAATAGTAATTTTTAATTTTTTTTTATTAAACATTTCTTTAATAAAAAAATTTATTAATAATTCTATTTTAATTTAAAAAATTATTAATAATTTTAATTTTAATTTTAATTTAAGATTATTATAGACTAGATTTGAGGAGACCAGGTATAGTGGATAGAAGGCTTTGTTGAGAACTTGTGAGGGGGAATTAGTGTTTAAGATTTCATAGAGTAAAGGTTTGACAAGAGTTGGTGATGACTTGGGGCTTCTAGAATGGGAGTTATATATGGACTTAAAACTGATGTTCAATATTTGGGAGGGAAGGCCATTGGCTAAGATTGCTTTTAGGGTTTGTTATGGAATGTGAGGAGAAAGGTATATGTGTCTAGGAGTAGGGTTTTAGAGGATATAAGTGAGAATTTCTCATCTAAGTATTTCGGCCAAGGAAGAACCACCAAGCCTTCTATGAGAAGGAGATGCTCAAATTTTGATTCAAGGAAAACAATTATTCTCATGCATTATCAAGTCCAATAAATTTAAGATTTCCATTTTTAACCCTTGAAGATATGACTTTAAATCTAAGTTTCATAAAAATAACAAAACTAAAAAAAAAAAAAATTAATGGAGGGGAAAGCTCTTGGCTATGCAAGTTAATTTACTTATTGGATTACTTAACCACACACTAAATTGTTAGAAGAGCTGTTTATAAGTTTTGAAAAATGGAAGAGAGATTGACCCTACTATATTTAAATGAGGGATCAACCAAGGTTATCCGCACCACCTTACTTTTAAAATTTCATGAAATAAGTAAAATAATTAATTAAACATTTCTTGCAAGGTGGTGACACTTTGTTTGTGATTTTGTCACTAGACAATGCACCACTTGATATTGTTCTGCATCATAAAGTCCTTGATGATCTAATGGTTGTACAAGCTCAAAGTGGCATGATAGACCCTAAAATGAACATTGGAATGATGTGTTGAGCATGTGAATGCTATATTTGATCAAACTAATTTGCAGAATTTGCTTGATCTTATCAAATTTATTTGGGTCGATTGTGATAGTTTTCTTTTTTGTGATTGGATTCTTGTAATGGACATGAGATCTTGGAGAAGGCGTTTGTTATAGCCTTTTTTGTTGCCATTTTCATTCGAGGATCGCTAGAAACGCACCTCATCTTTCCTTTTCTGTCGGACTGGTTGTCCGTGAGGAGCAAATTGGCGGCCTTTATTGTCGCTCATGTATCATTGCTTGGGGGCATTTTATTTCTAAAGCCCCAATCTTCTTTGAGTTTCTAAAGCCAGCAACTTTTCATGAGTATATTTCTAAAAGTCTCCTCATGGGTAGAGGAATAATTCAATAGAAAATTACATGGATATTGATGATTTTTTTATTAGATCTGAATGAGGATGCTATCCACCTTGAAATTGTCCCAATTAATTTACTGCATCTTTAACTTGCATAATTATTACAATCATGATGCCACTGCCAACAGCATGATATGTTTAGATCTTGGATGTGGATGCTAGTGGCGGCAGTTGTTGCTGTTAGTCGATGCCTTAACTAGTCCTTGTCAGATCCAAGTCAGCCTAAGGGTATGACCTGCTCAATTCAAATATGCCATTTTTCTTATGATGGGTGATTACAAAGGTAGTCGACAGCCAGCGCAAAACTTGTCGAACAATAATGACATGAATCCATTAAGAAATTGTGCTAATGCTAGGGCGTCCCCTGGAAGCGACGCACTGTATGACCTGAATACAGTGACAAGTGTGTAAGGGCCGCTGCATCGGCGCCCGGGTGCAGTGTTAAATAGGCAAGGGTTCCCACATCAAGGACGGATGTGGGCAAAGAAGCTAGTCCATGATACTAAAATTAGGATAGGAACTTGGAATATAGGTTCCCTTACAGGTAAATTAATGGAGTTAATAGATATTATGATTCATAGGAAGTTAAATATTTTGTGCATTCAGGAAACTAAATGGGTTGGAGATAAGGCTAAGGAAATTGATAGTTTAGGATTTAAACTTTGGTATTCGGGTAGGAGTCGTACTAGAAATGGTGTAGGTGTTATTATAGATAAGAGTTTAAAGGATAATGTTATAAAAATTAATAGGATTGGAGATAGAATTATAGCTTTAAAGATTGTTGTTGATGATAAGATTGTTAATATTATAAGTGCTTATGCTCCTCAAGTAGGTTTGGATATGAGTTCTAAATTAAATTTTTGGAATGACTTAGAAGAATTAATACAAAATATACCTCTTGAAGAAAGAGTTTTTATTGGAGGAGATTTAAATGGACATGTTGGTAGAGAGGTAGATGATTTTAAAAGCATTCATGGTGGCCATGGATTTGGAACGACGAATGAAGGTGGCAAGACCATATTGGATTTTTGTTTAGCTTATGATTTTTCAATTGCTAATACCTTATTTAAGAAAAGGAATGAGCATCTCATCACTTATAAAAATGGATGTAGTACAACCCAGATTGACTATTTTCTTATTAGAAAATTAAACCGTTTAGATTGCAAAGATTGTAAAGTTATTCCGAGTGAAAGTTTATGTACCCAACATCGATTATTAGTTTTGGACTTTAAGATAAAGGGGCATAAAATAAAAAATAAAGTAAAATAATTTTCTAGGATTAGATGGGGCATTTAAAGAATATTAACCAAAATATTTTTGTGAGTAAGATTTTAGATCTTAAGATTTTGTCTGTGCATGAGGATGCTAATATTATGTGGGAAAAAGTGGCTAGTGATCTTAAGAATATTGCAAAAGATGTCCTTGGAGTATCAAAGGGAAAAGCTCCTAATAGTAAAAATAGTTGGTGGTGGAATCCTAATGTGCAAGAAAAGATAAAAAATAAGAAGCTTTGTTATAAAAATTGGTTTAATTTTAAAAATTCCGATAATTGGGAAATATATAAAGTTGCTCGTAAGGATGCTAAGAAAGCCATATGCGATGCAAAGACATTAGCTTTTAGCGATTTATATAATAGATTAAATACTAAGGAGGGAGAAAGATATATGTATAAGTTAGCCAAACAAAGAGATAGGAGTAGTAAGGATTTAGTTCAAGTGAAGTGTATTAAGGATGAAGATCAAAAAATACTTTTCTTAGAAGATGATATTCAACAAAGGTGGATGAGATATTTTGCTAAACTTTTTAATGAAAATTGTGATAATAAGATTGACTATAGTGACCTTAGCACCCTAAATGAAAGTAAAGATTTCTGTTTTTATCGGCGTATTAGTAAAACTGAAGTTAGAGAGGCTTTAAATAGAATGAAGGGTGGAAAAGCTGTTGGACCTGATGATATTCCAATAGAGGTGTGGAAATGCTTAGGAGATGAAGGAATTTCATGGCTTACTAAACTTTTTAATACTATTTTGAAGACTAAGAAGATGCCAGATGAGTGGAGAATGAGTGTGTTAATTCCTATTTTTAAGAATAAAGGTGATGTACAAGATTGTGCGAATTATAGAGGTATTAAGTTAATGTGTCATACTTTAAAACTATGGGAGCGAGTTATGGAGCATAGGTTGCGGCGTGATACTAATGTTTCTCAAAATCAATTTGGATTCATGCCGGGTAGGTCGACTATGGAAGCCATACATTTATTAAGAGGTTTGATGGAGAAATATAGAGAAAATAAGGAGGATCTGCATATGATATTTATTGATTTAGAAAAAGCATATGATAAAGTTCCAAGAGAAGTGCTATGGAGAGTTCTTGAAAAGAAAGGAGTTAATAATGCTTATATTCAAATCATTAAAGATATGTATGCAGGAGCTATTACTTGTGTTCAAACACAAGGTGGTTTGACCAAGTATTTCCCTATTTCGGTTGGGTTACATCAAGGATCATCCTTAAGCCCATATCTTTTTGCTTTAGTCATGGATGTTCTCACTAGACATTTGCAAGAGGATGTACCTTGGTGTATGCTTTTTGCTGATGATATTCTTCTTGTTGATAAGACTAGAGAGGGAGTTGAAGGTAAACTTGAATTATGGAGATCAACCTTCTTTCGCTTGAGTAAATCGAAAACGGAATATATGGAATGTAATTTTAGTAGTAATAGATCTAGTGAGGGGATTGCGACTTTGTGCAATCAAGTCATTAATAAGAGTACACGTTTTAGATATCTTGGATCTATTGTTCAGAGTGATGGTGAAATAGATGGGGATATTATCAGCAGAATTCAAGTTGGATGGTTGAAGTGGAGGAATGCATCGGGCTTGTTATGTGATAAAAATATACCCCTCAAACTTAAGGGAAAATTCTATAAGATGGTAGTGAGGCCTGCAATGCTTTATGGTGCCGAAAGTTGGCCATTAAAAGAGAAGCATAATACTAAGTTAAGTGTGGCAGAGATGAGGATACTCAGGTGGATGAGGTTCTTTACCCTTAGAGATAGGATACGAAATGAGCATATACGTGAAATGGCTGGAGTAGCTCCAGTAGAAGATAAGATTAGAGAGAGTCACCTTAGATGGTTTGGTCACATAAAAAAGGCGGCCTTCCGATGACCCGGTTAGGAGAGTAGAGGTATTAGATTTGACTTATGTTAAGAAAGGTAGGGGTAGACCTAAAAGGACTTGGTTAAAAAATATTAGGAATGACCTTTCTTTATTAGATTTAAACGAGAATTTGACTTTTAATAGGACACAATGGAGAAAAAAGATTCATGTAGCCGACCCCACGTAAAGGGATAAAGGCTTGATGTTGTTGTTGTTGTTCGGTGATTGCAATCTCCTTAATTCATTTTGGGTAGAAGTGAAATTTGGACCATATGTGACCAAATTAGGCCTCTATAAGTCTACAAAATTAACAAAAAAAAAAAAAAAAAAATCCATTTAGAGGAGTAATTTTTTGAGCTTTGATGGATGTTCTAGATTGCTGCTTGTTGATAATGTGTCTCCACTCGTTGCTCACACTCAGATGTTGCTTGTGATGACATGACATAAAATCAAAAAAGAGGATGTGTTATCACCCATCAATGACGGTTGATGTTGCTGATGTTGAAGACATACTATCACTTACTGTCATTTGAAGATGCCGTCAACAGTGAGTCACCTCTCATGGCTATCGTTGAAAATGCACCATTACTCGTCCTATGTACATGGAGCACTTCGTTCGTGCTAACTTTTGTGTAGGGATGTTATCAAGCATGCTATCACTTGCCATTAATGCACATAGAGCTGATATATATTATCATGATCACTGGTGCTCCACATTGTTGTCATCGTTCTGATTGCCTTGATAACATCATTGCATTGATGTTCTTCTAAATGCTTGAGGACAACTGTTGTACTTCTTTACCTTAATAGTGTTGTTTCTTGCCTTGGTCAGGCCCTATGGTAACTGCCTCCTTAATTTTTTTTATTGTAAAAATCTTTCGTTAATTGGGTGTGTGCAAAATTCTAGAGATTAAAATGAAATTGAAGTTCCCACATTCTTCAATTATTAGAATTTCTTTGGCATGCAACGCAGTTTTTTTGCAGTTTTGAATTTTTTCATATAGTTATTTATTTTAAATTAATTTTATTAAATCATGTTCGGGGACACAGTTGTTCTATCTAAGTTTTACTGATTGAAATCATTGATCAGATCCAAAAGTGTATTTTGGACTTTGCAACAGTTAGATGGAAAATTAATATTTGATGTTCATTATTTTTTTTTCTAGTATTGTTTAGGCTGTATTAGAATCTTTCGTTAATTGTAGTTACATATGCTTTCAGTTAGTTGTTCCAGCTAGAAAAGTTGATAATAAGGTGTCTTTTTTGGTGGATGTCAAAACAAATATCCAGTTTCCTGGTCTCTACATTCATGACGATCATAGAAAACTCTGATCTCTGTACCATGGTCTATATTCCTGCAGGTGAGCTTAAAACTTTCAAACCAGTTGGATAGAACTGCTGGCCCTTTTGAAGTTACGATATCTCAAGGAAGTTCCAGTTTACCAAAGGTTGTTATGATTGATGGTATCCAGAAAGTGGTATGCTTCTGTCTACGTAGTTGATTGCACTTTTTAGGATTCATTTTCTTAGATCTCGTTAAATGCTATTTGAGCAACTATTAAATGAAGTCGAATGATTTAAAGCTATTAAAAAGCTTTTGTTTAGAATGAAGTTCATATCAATCTCAATAATTTGATGCAGTTATCTTGTTTCGAATATAGCCTTACATGATAGTGTTTCCACTCGTACCAGTCAATTTATCTATTGTAATTTCTTATTCTGATAATCTTGTCCTACATGTTGAAACCGAGATTTAATTATTGTTTATCTGCATTTAGGTTGGTTTTTGCATCATGAAAACACTTCATCAATATTTTGAATTAAATTATAGTAGTCTTACTATGATGTAAATTTTCTTTGCTTATTACATGTCTCTATGATGTTTGAAACGAGCCATCGTGCGGTAATATTGTAGTGATTTTATGTGGAATCTGTGTACTGTGTAATTCATTCCCTAAACAGCCTTTTTTTCGATAGAAGTTATATGTGATGTTTGTTTGGATTTGACATGACAACTGTGCAGATGAGGGCCGCTGAAATGGACGAATGAGTGTTGACTAGTAAAAATAATAATAATAAAATGGTTGTTCCAGAGTCGAGCGAATGTATCCTTTCGAAAAGGACGCATTCGTTCGTTAACTCAATCAATAAAAAGACGGAGAATAGAAGAGAAACTGATGCTGATTTCAATTGCTCTGTCATGCTTGCATTGATTAACTGACTTTGCTCCCTGCCTTCACTTAGTTCGTGCAACCACCTGCCTACGCTCTACTCCGACTCGCGCACGCAAATCTCTGTTCACTGGACCAACTTCCTCATGACAGTCACCGTCTGGATCTCCCTCAGAACCCACTTCCAGCGTCGACTGGCCTGTTTGCAAACAAGATCGAAACCACCTTCCACCGCCTTGCCCGTTCCTAGCCCAATGCCTCTGTTTTAATTGTCGAACCTGAGCCCTAACCTAGTGCTTGCGACTCCACGTTTCGCCTTGCTTCTGTCCTGCGTGCCTCCAACCCATGCGAACCCCACATGAAATTGCCCGACATTCGCCTCTAACCCAACGTCCGATAGCCCGCCTACCCTCTTCGTTCAATCGCGCCTAGCACGCATGATAGAGCCCACATGCAATTGTCCGAACCCAATTGTCTGAAGCATGTATTCTACTTGTTGTATGCGAATTGCCTCAATTACTTGTTCTTTCACTTAAAACAAAGAATACAAGTTGGTTTTTTGTCTATTACTATTAAGGCAATAATCTTAATTGTTTTTGGCTCATTCATGCTAAGATTGATAGTTTAGGATTTAAATTATGATATTATGGTAAGAGTCATACTAGAAATGGTGTAGGTGTGATTATTGATAAGAGTTTGAAGGATAGTGTTATGAAAATTAATATAATTGAAGATATAATTATAATTTTAAAGATTATTTTTATGCTAAACTTATTAATATTATAAGTGCTTATGCTCCTCAAGTAAGTTTGGATATGTGTTCTAAATTAAAATTTTGGAATGACTTAGAAAAATTAATACAAAAGGTATTTTTTGAAGAAAGAGTTTTTATTGGAGGAGATTTAAATCGACATGTTGGTAGAGAGAGAGGTAGATGATTTTAAAAGCACATGATGACTATGAATTTGAAATAACTAATGAAAGTGGTAAAACCATATTAGATTTTTCTTTAGCTTATGATTTTAAGATTATTAATACCTTATTTAAAAAAAAAGGATGAACATCTCATCACTTATAAGAATGGATATAGTAAAACTCAATTGATATTTTCTTATAAGAAAATAGATCGTTTATATTACTAAGATTGTTAAGTTATTCTGAGTGAAAGTTTATGTACCCAATATCATTTATTAGTTTTTGACTTTAAGATGAAGGGGCAAAAAATAAAAAATAAAGTAAAATATTATTCTAGGATTAGATGAGGACATTTAAAAATATTAAAAAAAATATTTTTGAGACTACTATTTTAGATCTTAAGATTTTATTTGTGCATGAGGAAGCTAATGCTACGTGGAAAAAAGTAGCTAGTGATATTAAGAATATTATAAAATATGAGTTTGGAATATTAAAAGGAGAAGCTCCTAATGATAAAAATAGTTGGTGGTGAAATCAAAATATATAAGAAAAGATAAAAAATAAGAAGATTTATTATAAAAATTAGTTTATATGTAAAAATTCTAATAACATGGAAATTTATAAAGAGGCCTGTAAGGAGTCTATGAAAGCAATGTGCGATGCACAGATTTTAATTTTTAATGATTTATATAATAGATTAGATACTAAGGAGGACGAAAGATATATGTATAAGTTAGTCAAATAGAGAGATAGGTGTAGTAAAGATTTAGTTTAAGTGAAGTGCATTAAGGATGAAAATCAAAAAGTTTTTTTATTAGAAGAGGATATTTAACAAAGGTGGATGAGATATTTTAGTAAACCTTTTAATGAAGATTGTGAGAATATGATTGTCTTTAGTGACCTTAGCACCCTAAATAAAAATAATTTTTTTTATTTTTTTAGGCGTCTTAGTAAAACCGAAGTTATTGAGGCTTTAAAGAAAATGAATTGTGGAAAAGCTATTGGACCTGATAATATTCCGATAGAAGTATTAAGATGCTTAAGAGATGAAGGAATTTCTTGGCTTACTAATCTTTTTAATATTATTTTGAAGACTAAAAAGATGCCAGATGAGTAGAGAATGAGTTTGTTGATTCCTATTTTTAAGAATAAAGGTGATGCACAAGATTGTGCAAATTCTAGAGGAATTAAATTAATGTGTCACTTTAAAACTATGAGAGAGAGTTATGAAGCATAGGTTGTAGCATGATAGTAATGTTTCTCAAAATTAATTTGGATTCATGCCGGGTAAGTCTACTATAGAAGCTATACATTTGTTGAGAGGTTTGATGGAGAAGTATAGAGAGAATAAGGATGATCTACATATGATATTTATTGATTTAGATCAAGCATATGATAAAGTTTCAAGAGAATGTTATGGAGAGTGCTAGAAAAGAAATGGGTTAATAATGCTTATATTCAAGTCATTAAGGATATGTATGTAGGAGTTGTTACTTGTGTTCAAACACAAGGTGGTTTGACAAAGTAATTTCCTATTTCAGTTGGATTACATCAAGGATCATCCTTAAGCCCTTATCTTTTTATCTTTAGTCATGAGTGTTCTCACTAGATATTTGGAAGAGGTTGTACCATGGTGTATGCTTTTTGTTGATGATATTCTTCTTGTTGATAAGACTAGAGAGAGAGTTGAAGGTAAACTTGAATTATGGAGGTCAACCATAGTCTAAATATTTTCATTTGAGTAGATCTAAAATTGAATATATGGAATGTAATTTTAATAGTAATAGATATAGTTAGGGGATTGTGACTTTGGGCGATTAAGTCATTAATAAGCGTACACGTTTTAGATATATTGGGTCTGTTGTTCAGAATGATGGTGAAATAGATGGAGATATTATTAGTATAATTCATGTTGGATGGTTGAAGTGGAGGAATGTGTCGAGTTTGTTGTGTGATAGAAAAATTCCCCTCAAACTTAAGGGAAAATGCTATAAAATGATGGTGAGACCTGCCATGTTTTATGGTGCAAAATATTGGCCAGTAAAAGAGATGCATAATATTAAGTTGTGTTGCAGAAATGAGGATGCTCAAGTGAATGAGTGGCTTTGCCCTTAGAGATAGTACACGAAATGAGCATATACGTGAAAAGATTAGAATAGCTCCAGTGGAAAATATGACTAGAGAGAGTCGCCTTTGATGGTTTGGTCACATAAAATGACGACCTTCCCATGATCCGGTTAGGAAAATAGATGTATTAGATTTGGCTTATGTTTAAAAAGGTAGAGATAGACCTAAAAAAGACTGGTTAGAAAATGTTAGAAATAACCTTTATTTATTAGATTTTAATAAAAATTTGACTTTTAACAAGACATAATGGAGAAAAAGGATTCATGTAGCCAACACGACGTAATGGGATAAAGGCTTGATGATGTTGTTGTTGTTGTATAAAAGATATTTGAAAAGTAAGCGAGGTTAGTGTTGTGTGTTTTATAATATCGTAATATTTGTTTAAATTTACTATTCATAGCATTTAATGAATTATGTGCCTATTTATTGTATGTCAGTTCAGTAAAGCCATTTATAGAATGTTGAAAAACTATTTGATGATATTGGATTCTTGAAAAAATTATCATTCAATGCATAGGATCCTATACATTTTATCTCCTTATTCATTAATTTGAAGTTATTGCTTGTAGCAACCTGTCATATTAGGTATTATGTAAGCTGAAAGCTGCAATGTCTAATAAAATCTTATTATAACAACTTGAACATGGTTGCATAAATCAATTATTTTTTATTTGAATTTTTGTGACTGGTTCCTTGAAGCTCCTTTATATAAGTGATGCATGTGTAAAGGGAGTTGAACATTGAGTAGAGTTGCATTTATTTATTTGTAAAGTACTTGAGTTCTTAATTTTTTTTTTTATTTTTCATCATGATGTGTTGGCCTAGTTTAGAAAAGGTTAGAGACATTTTAGCGAAAAATTTCGTTGATATTGCATGCGCACGATTGCAGGATTGTGTGGCTAGGTCTTCCGATACTCCACTAGAGTTTGCACAAAAAAGGGTGGAAACTAAGAAAAATGATATTTACCTTTTGGTGTTCTTACTCTTAAAACTTGCTATGATATTGCTAATTACTACAACAACAATTTAATAAGCATTTTCTGCTATGAAAATTGTAAAGAATCAATTGTGCAATAGGATGGGAGACTCTTGGATGAAATATTGATTGATTACTTATATTAAAAAAAAGATATCTTTAATAGTATTAATAATGAAGTAATTGTACAATGATTTCAAAATGTAAAGATTCGGAGGGAGAAACTATAGGCGTCATGTAAGAAGAATATGAATATCATGTGCTCTTGATTGTAAGTTTTTTTATTATATAATTTATCTTTTTTTATAACAAGTCTAACAAAAAAATTTTTAAACCGCCAATGTCAATGTCAAGTTTGGATGAAAAATGTTGATGGTTTTTTAGTATTTATAATTTGTGCTCTCACATAAAAATTTTTTTCCTCTGTCACTGAATTCACTAGAGGCGTAGAATTAGAGGTACAGAGAATGGGTGATGAATTTCTGTAAATGAACACTTAATTGAAAGAAAGGCTGGGAGAAGGAAGAATCAATGGGAAGAATCTTGAGTTTCATTATTGTACAGATGTCCTAGGATCTTTTTCTGACGTTGAACTGCAGTGATGCTAAGAATGCCACACCACTTTGGGGGATCTGTCAAATACATAATGTTGTTTCTAAATAGCATTAGTAATTGTTTGAAGCTAATTCAAATAATATCGGCAATCTTAATTGAGGTAAGCTAAACGTCTAACAATACACTTAATCACCAGTTCCCGTTGTTCTTCATCAGTGAAACCAAAATCCAGCAGTTGCTGAGGCTTATATGCTTCCATGGAGTGGGGCTTGCAGCACACTTGGTTTTTCCTCAGAAGAAAATTGTCATTGCATACGTTGGTGTTGACAGTGCTTCTGCATATCTTGGTTATCGGCCGCTTCCGCTAGCCAGGCATCTGTCCTTTATGTTTTACCTTATTTTAAGCTGTTTTTGAAGCTTATCCTGCCATCCTTTTTATGGTGTCTGTAGAATATTGGATTAATTTATGTTTATATTTTTAATTATTTATTTTTTATGGAATCACATTTTTGTGTAGATAAGGATTTTTTTTTCTATTGTAATGAAGCTGCTCAGAACAAAGTATGCTTATACAATATCTGTTCAAGTTAGTCTATTTATTCTTCAGCAGCTTTTGAATTTATAAAGTAACAAGTGCTTTTTAAAATCAGGCAATAATACTGAATGGCACAACATCAAACCAATTGGTAATAATTTTTATAGTATAAATATCTTTTAATACAATAATACTGAATGACATACAATATATCATAATTATCTTTGATATCTTAATTAAACGAACATGTATTTTAATAGCAATGATGTTTAAATAACATAAAATATGATACCCTTTTGCTGCATCTTAGTAACTGCGGGCTTGACACGCTAAGAGAGTGCTGTGCTGCAATTAATGCTTGTATTTTATATAGCGTTCCATTTCCTTGTAAATTTTTTACATGCAGTGGAAATTAGACTTGGCTGTACGAAAACTGCATAGTTCTCGCATGTTTTAATAGATTTTGAAGCATTTTTCAGGCATTGCTATTCTTGACGAAATCTACAATTTGTACAGGTACTTCAGCCATTGGAGGCTTACAGTTCTACAGAGTTTAGCTTGGTGAGGCGGCTGCACTTTAATACATGTTTATTATTATTATTATTATTTTAAATTGACTGTGTGTGAATGGAAGGGATCCTTTGCTATTGACGATCGGTCTTATATTTATTTTTAACTAATGCGCTGCCATTACTTCTATTAAAGCACTGATTTAACGTCCGTATTCTGCTTTGAGAATTCTTAAGTTTTATGAACTCCCTTTCCTGCGTGCAGATTGTTACCATGCACTACTTAATACAAAAAACAGGGGTAGATAAATTAAGATGATAGATAAAATCGCAATGGAAGGATTATTATGAAAGAGTAAAAACGTAACCAATGGTTAGAAAGTTGTGAGAAAGAAAAAAATGCACAAATTTGAGCTTATTCCATGGGATTCATTTAACTTAAACTAATTAGTAGGATAAGGGTAGTCATAATGATGATAAATTAGGAAAATTGATTTATCTTAAATTCTTTACTAACCAAGAAATCTTAACTTAGGCTCCGTTTGGGACGACTTTCTTACTATTTTTTAAAGCAACTTTTTAGTATAAATTTTTTTATTTTTTATTAGAAAGTTGCTTTAAAAAATAATAAGAAAATCGTCTCAAATAAAGTCTTAATATATCAACAGTTATTTAGATTATGAAGTATTTTATTTTTTGTCTGTTCTGATTGAATCGCAAAAAGTAATCTCCATGTAACCACCCTAGTCAGTCATCTAGTGAACGGTTTAAGCTTTGTTTGGGACGGCTTTCTTACCACTTCTTAAAGCAGCTTTCTTGTAGAAAAAAATTAATTTTTATACTAAAAAGTTGCTTCAACAAGCAGGAACAAAGCCTTAATTTGCTTGAGTTATTTTGACGCTACATGCCACTTGACTTTGCCATTTGTTCATACAGAACATGATTGCCATTAGAGCGGGTGTTCAGAAGATCTCAGGAATCACAATTTATGATACAAGGGAAAGTAGAATATATGATCCATTACCAGATGTTGAGGTTAGTATATGCCCTCTTTCATTCTGCAAAATCTTTATCAAAATGAATGAAATTCTGAACTAAATTTCTGTCGGATTATTATTATTTAGTTAGTAATAGGGATTACATATTGCAGATTTTTGTGGATTCAGATTGAATTTTGTGGATGCTTGCTTCTTGATGATAAATCTTGAGAGGAGTAGATGTTTTTCCACCATGTATTTGTTAATTTCCTGCAAGCAATCAACTGAATTCCATTTAATGTGATAAAGCCTTTATTGAGGTGATAGTAGGCTTGCATTATTCAATTTTGTATCTAATCTATTGCACAAGTTCTATTGTCTAAGGGCTTCATTTGGGATGGATAACTTTCTTAGTATTTTGTTTTTCAGGCCGCAATAACAATTTGTGTTTGGCCACAGCTTTTTTACTGTTTTCAATAAATTAGTGTTATGAAGCTACTTTCTGTAACAATTTTAAAAAAATATATTTTTTTCATGGGATCTTTATAATCTCCTTTATAAAAAGCTGCACCCGTCTCCTATTCTTTGGGTTTATTAATAAGTTTTCTTTGTTTTAAACTAAATGTCTTCTCAAGTCTTTAATAAATCAACGCAGTCAGATAAATTTTTGTTTTATCGCATTTTTTTTTGATAAATTTGTTCATTCTGTTCTTAAGCATTTATTGTAAGAGTTTCATTTTGTTCTTTCAGTCGGTTGGATTCTTCATACGTTCACATTGTAAGAGTTTCATTTTTCTATTCAATTTTTATTTAGATGGTCTAAGAAACTGACATTTATCAAATTTTTATGATATTTATTCTATTAGTTACATTTATCTTAATATTTTGCTATTTTATCATATATTTTGTAACTCATATTATCAAATTTATTCATAATCATATAATTTCACATCATTTAAATTAAATAATATAAAAATGACATATTTTAATTATATTCTAACTAAAATGATAGGAAAGATAAATTAAACATGTAAAAATAAATAATACGTTTTCCCTAAAGTTTCTCTTTGATGAAAAAAAAAAATGAAGGAATATTGAGTTATTTGTTTGGGATTTGCTTTTCTTCCTTATATATATAGAAGTAAAAAAAAAAAAAAAAACTCTAGTTTTTTTAATTAAAAATAAAGCAAAATGAATCTCAATTCAATTCATTGGCTAGTTTCATTTCAATTTCCTGTTTTTTTTTTTTTAATTCCTCTTCTCAATTCCTTCATGCCAAAAGGAATCTTGGGCCCTCTTTTGTTTTTATATTTATTTTTATTTCTAATTAAAAAAAATTCTATTTGTTTTTTTTTTCTGGTTTTCACATTTAAAAACAAATTAATGTTTTTGAAATTTATGAAGGAGTTTTTAGCATTTTATTATTATTTTTTAAAAACATAATTTAAAGTTTTCAACATCTTGACCTCCTCACGCACCCACATACATACGCACGAGCAAACGCACTATAATACATGACACAAATAAGTTCAAAAAAAAAAAAAATTATAATTCAAAGGCATCTATCTATTGAAATTTCTTTTCAAACTGGTTCAATTGTTTGTGATTAAGTTTTGATTAGGATAAGTACAAAATTTTGACTTTGTTTGAGACGGTTTTCTAAAGTAATTTTTTAATAAAAAGGTTTTTTTTTTCTCAAGAAAATTTGGTATTAAAAAATTATTTTAAAAAATAATAAGAAAGCTGCCCCAATTCAAGCTTATATTTCTATTATATTTAAATAATAAAAAATATGTGATATTTATTAGAGAATAAATTCAAAATAAAGAAGACATTTACCGTAAACTGTATCTGTATGGCATAATAATAAAAATATTTAGGCATTTATCAATAATCACCCGCATAAATGTCATAAAAAATTGACATATATAAATGTTTTATGAATTCTTATTAATGATTTCAAGACTCTGTTGAGTTTAGGGACAAAATTCTTTCATATGTGCACTAATCTCAAATCAAGTCGGCATGAACCCCTCATAAGATAAAATTATAAGTTTAAGGATTCAAAGTAGACTTGCTCTATCATTGAGACATAAATTCTCAAACCATTTTAAAGTCAACTAAATCCTCAATTTCGTTGCTCCCTAAGTCTCTACCTAATTGAGGAACAAGCCCTCAAATAGTTACAAAGTTATTTGAATACACAATTCAGGAAAATTAACAAACTATCTTTTACCAAATTGAGAAATTATTATTTTCATATTCGTACTGTCGTGAAGCTAATAAAATCACATTAAGAGTCCATTTGGGGAGAAACTATTATGTGCGGACACCGAACGACGTCCAGAGGCCAATCAAAGCATGCTATGTCATTAATATACACTTGTATATTGATACACAATTGTGTACTGAACCAATACAGAACTGTATATTGGGTAATGAAGCACGTTCTGATTGGCCTTCGAACTTCGGCGTCCGCACTTAATAATTTCTTCTATTTGGGAAAACTTTCTAATTGTTTACTTTTTAAATAAAAACTATAACTTCATTTGAAAGCTGCTTTCTCGTCATTTTTTAAAAAATTTTGTGGTGAAAAACTGCTTTCTACAACCACAGTATTGAAGTTACTTTCTCTCCAACAACTTTACAAGCAACCTTACAAAACGCTACAATCATCCCAAATATATTATTAATCCTAATGCTCAACACTCTTTCAATTGCATTGCAATTTGAAGTTTATTAGATCTGCTTATGATTTTAATTTAAGGCACCTCGTGGTACATCAAAATCCCTCACTTGGATCTCATCGTTAATAGACAAGATCCGCTTGGTTGATTAAACATGCCGAAGGGTTCGTTTAAAACAGCTTTCTTATTGTTTTTTAAAGCAAAATTTTGCACTACAAAGCCCCTTTATGAAGCAGTAAGAAAATCATCCCAAACAAAACCGAAATCATAATATCCTTAATCTAGATAGTTTTAAATATTAGATCATGAGAGCATATCCCTACTGTCATGGATGTTAATACTTATTCACATTACTTCATCAAATCTTTTCTACAATGTTTGTTACACTTGTACAAATTTATATTGTGGTTATTAATTTAATTGTTAAACTATATAGCTTAGATTATATATTTGAATGTGATGATTTTGAATTAAAAAAATCTGAAAAAAAAAGTTCAAAGTACTCATTGACAAACTTGAATATTGAATTATCCAACCCTAGATAGTCAGGAATAAGAGTGTGGATGATGATGTTGATTGCCTGTTCAGGTATATTCACATCAGCAAATCCCCTCCAACATGAAGAAAATAGAGTCTAATTCCCTGCAAATCTGTTCAACTTGAGGATGAGATCTATCATTAGACACAAAATAAAAAATCTTTCCCTTTACCTCAATCCAAGTGCATCCAGTTTCTTTCTTCAATCCTTGTTCTCTCATCAGTGCTCTGATCTGTGATGCTTCACTCCACTTCCCCTTAGCAGCATAAATATTCGATAACAATACATGCATTCCTCCATCAGAATGCTTCTTATCAAAAACTCTTTTTGCTGTGAGCTCTCCAACTTCCAGATGCTGATGAACTTGGCATGCACTCAGTAAAGTTTCCCATGAATTTGTCTGAACATCTTCAGGCACTTTCTCTGTGAGTTTGTAAGCCTGGTCAATGAATCCATGTCTTCCAAGGAGATCCACAAGACACGAATAATGCTCAGCTCTCGGAGCAAGCTTCCATTCCTCTTTCATGGAGATAAAGTACCTAAATCCTTCATCAATTAGCCCCTTATGAGAACAAGCCAACAGCAGATTCAGAAATGTAGCATGGTCTGGATGAAAGTTACTCTGAATCATCTTTTTATAAAGTTCAATGGCTTCCTTAGCAAATCCATGGTAAGCATAAGTTGAAATCATGGCATTCCAAGCAATTGTGTCTCGCTTCGACATGCTATGAAACACATTACTAGAATCCTCAACAAAGCCACACCTTGAGTACATGGAAATCAATGAACTTGTTACTAATATATCATGTTCATAACCAGCTCTAATGACATATAGATGAAGCATTCGTCCCCATCCAAGAGCAACTAGAGAGCCACATACTGAAATTACTATCACTAGTGTCACTTGGTCAGGCTTGAATCCTTCCTTCACCATATCACAAAATAAACCAAGAGCCTCTATAGTTTGATATCCAGAAATCAATGTATTCCAAGAGGTTTCACTCCTTTGTGGCATGTTTTCAAACCATCTCCTTGCATTAACCACATCATTGTTATGAACAAAGCCTTGCAAAATTGTATTCCATGACACTATATCCCTATTAGGCATCTTATCAAACAAATTAAGCGCATCATCGAGCAAGCCATTCTGAACAAATCCACCCACCATCGTGTTCCAGGACATGACATCGCGGCTAGGCATCTCTTCAAATAATCTTGATGCATGGTTGACATTTCCATTCTGTAAGTGACCGCGGATTATAGCAGTCCATGAAATAACATCCTTTTCTGGCATCTCATTGAACAGTTGTTGAGCCAGTTCCATATTTCCAGCTCTTGAATAGCAGGTGATCATGGAATTCCAAGATACGGCATCTCTCGATTCCATTCTTGCAAACAAATACTCTGCTTCCTTGAGGCATCCAAGATCAATATATCCTGACAGTAGAGCATTGCAAAGAGTAGTAGGGTGAAAAGGTGATTGCTTGAATAAATTGAAAGCTTGATCCAACTTCTTTTGGTGAATATAACCTGAAACCATTATGCACCAGGATACACTATTCCTTGATGGCATATTGTCAAAGAGTTTCCTAGCCTCTCTGATCCTCCCATTGCTGATATACCCAGAAATCAATGAATTCCAGCAGACAACATTTCTTTCAGGAATATTATCAAACAGATTGCGTGCTTCCTCTACTCGACCATCTTGCAGATAACCAGTCATCAAAGCAGCATAAGAAACAACATTCCTATGCGGCATCAAATCAAAAATAGACTGTGCATCCACCAACCTAAAGTTCTTCACATACCCAGTAATCATACAATTCCATGTCACAATATTCCTGTGAGGCATTTCCTCGAACATCTTGCATGCATGCTCAACCTCGCCATTTCTGAAGCAACGCATGATGGCTGAGTTCCACCAAAATATGTCACGGCGAGCCGGCGCTGCATCTGAAGAAGATGAAAACCTGCGGATTGATGGCGTTATCTTGAAGAAGAGGTTTTCGAAGGAAGAATTGAAGGAGATAAATCGCTCATGTAAAAGTAATCGGGGGAGCATTTCTTGATGCCTTCTCAAGCCATTCTTGAAAATTACGGGTCGCGGCTTTCTTCCAATTCGGTGGAGAATTAAACTATGTCCATTAAACACAAGCAATGGCTTACTCGCCAATGATCAAAGAAGAAAAACGAAGAAATGCCTTCCTCCGCAAGCATCATCACGAACGATGGGAAACCAATTTTCTCTTCAGACAGAGCGTTCTTGATAGTCCGTAGCGGGAAATGATCGCATGCAGAAATCACGATTTGAAAAAAAAGAACCGTTTTTTATTTGAAAAAGTTGAGTGCCCAACTACCCGATTTTGCCCAGAAATTAAAATCGTTTAAAAATCAGTTTTTTTTTTTTTGAATGATGAGCAACATGCTCCATAAAAAAAAATAAAAAATTTTATTATAAAGTTCTTTAGGTAATTTGTTCATCTTCACCTATTTTTAAATTTTTATTATAAAGATTTTTAGTCAATTGCCTCCCCCACCAAATTTTTTTTTTTAAATACTATGATATTTAGGTGATTACTCCTAGTAAATAGTAAAGAAAATTTATCATTTTAGTTATTAATTTGAATTCCTAAGTTATGAAATACTATGATCTTTAGGTCGAATCCCGACAGAGAGCGCTACCCCCTTGGACCCTCGACCTATCTGCGAAACATACGATGATAAATGATATAAACAAATAGAGGTCGATCTAAATTCGAGGCAACACCAACAATAACTTATATATAATGTTTGAATTTGATTATAATTATAGACATGGGTAGGGGAATATATTAAACAATAAAAAGTTGACTTTTAGATCAAGTGAAATATAAGTTGCAAAGAAATCTTTTGAAATTATTTTAAGACATGAGCCAATTTAAGATTGAAATGGCTAAAATTCACTCATACTCGTCCCTTGTTTAGTTTCAAATGGAGTGTATTTATGATTAAACACATCTTATATGTAAATTAAATTAAAAAAGATGTTATATATTTAAGTTCTTGATAGGCATGACGAAATATTAGCTAAGAAATTAACAGAGCTCTCTCAGAGTTAAAGCATGTGCCACCTTTCTCTTATGCAGGTGAAATTTCCGCTCCATGGAGACTTTCTCTGTTCAAGGGCAAATTATTGTGTCAGGTCACCTAACATGCGGACATCCAATCCAGAGATGCCTCCTCACCCGGACGCACTGGACCCTGATATTTTTGAGTGACGTGACGTGTTTTTATTAGTATCCAGATGAATCCAAGCACCAGATACAATAATTTGCCTTGTTTGAGACAATTTCAATGCTTTTCTTACCACTACTTTTTTATTATTTTTAAATTTTTTATGTTAGGAAAAACTATTTTCTAAAACAACTTTAAAAAAATTTATTTTCTTTACAATAACTTTACAATCACCATTACAAAAAAAAAAAAAAAAATATATATATATAATCACCACCAAATAAACTCTTCATCTCCCATCAAGCCTCTTTTTTGTCTTGAGAAAGGTTATTTGTTAGCATTGTACTCTTGTGAAAATAATTTAAATGAAAATTATATCAATAAAAAATAATTTAAATATATAATTTATCCACATGACTAAACATAATTATTAGTAAAAGGATCTTTGATTAATAAACAAGATAATAACAAAAAGCATGATAAATATATATTTCTTTTATTGAACAGAAGAACAAGCCCCTTTAATAGAACTATGACATGCCTTCAAAATGAAAATGGTTAGTCAAAAAGGTGGCGAGCAGAAAAAAATCAACAACTGTACAAACGCTACATTGCTTTTGATTGCATTGCTCTGAAAAAGTACAGACGAAAGAAACAAAGATTAAACCTCCAAAGAACTGATCATGGCTGAAAATACAGATATTATAGAAGAAGAATATAGATGCAAATGAAGTCTTATCATTTTCCGAGCTGAAACAGCCAAGGTAAACTGGTTCCCCGGTGCATTCAAGGGGGAGAGAAAAATTTTGTTGAGATGATAAGGGAGATTTAAAGCTGTACAGGAATGCCACTTTCTCTTATGATTCTTTGCAAGATTCGATAACCTTAACAACTGCTGTATGTGTTTCAGGAGATATCATGTTCAGTGTCAGATGAAATGCCTGGCAAAACAAAGTGAAGTAAAGAACGCGATTTTAATAGTCATTTTCCAACATTCTAATCATGCAAGTTTCTAATATAAAATATCTTGTGATTGCGAAGTCACTGTGGGTATGGGAAGATAGAAGGGGGGGTGTTCCTAGGATCAATAAATAATGAGTAGATTATGAATAAATAAACAAGTCATTATGAGTTTTTTTTTTTTTGGAACGGGATACCACCCGCTGCCTTCTTTAAAAGGACGTTTGGCGGCGTGACTAATCCTTGATTGACCTATAAGAGGCACCCACCCTAGAAACCTTCTAACCCGCACTTGATTGGGCCCCACTTAAGAAGCGCTGCCACTTGAGGAAAATCAAGCACGTGTTGGGGGTTCTCAACCGTACTCTCCCACTAATCAAGCTAAACAACAATGGGTACTATGAGTAATTTAATTCATTAGTAATTTATGGAATAAGAATCAAAATGATCACTTTATTTTTATGAAGACCCAAAATGATTCCTGACTAATTAAAAATCTCATTTTAATCCTTTGATATTTTAAATAGAGATTAAATGATCTCACAAATGAGCTAATTTTGATCTCTATTTAAATAATCAAAGAATCAAATTTGACATCTATTTATATTTTGGTCCTTCAAAAAAATTAATTAGGAGACTAATTCATATTAGAGGCAATAAGTAATTTATGAGTCGAGGGTGTCATTTTATTTCTAGAAAAATTCTCTATTGAGAGTTTTTGGATATGATGAATAAAACGGGACAAGCCTCCCTTCTATTTGTTTCTAGTTTCTTGCTTTCCCCACAACCCAATTTAGGATCTGGGACAAACATACAACATAAATCTTACTACGAATCTCTCCAACATGGGAACAAGAATTTATGGGGGCTTGCTAATGATCATTTCAATAAATCAAAGACAAACACGCATCAAAAAACTTACCACAAATCTCTCCAACACAGGAACAAGAATTTGTAATCTTTGGTTGGGAAGACAGCGTGCAATGGCATCTTTCACAGTCGTACTGCAAAGAGCAAGTCAATGCCACATCAATAATGATTACAACTACACCAAAAATTGCATTAATAATAAGAGTAGGGAGGTTGAAGAATTTAAGAAAAGATGAATACAGACCTCTCTGTCGACAGGAATGCAAGTAGCAGAGCAGTATAGGCTTCAATGATCATCATTTCAGCCTCTCGCTGACTTTGCAACAAGGATGCCTCGTCATCCTGACAAAATCATTGGCATTATTAAATGAAAACTAACTGTATATGAGACGTACCTTCACATTTTTTTTACAATAAGATATCGCATGAGAAGCATATGGAAAAATCAAGCATCATCACGTCATCCAACGTACAGAAATATAACAACATATATCATATATGCATCTATGAGTAATGAAAAAAGTATTACTTGATAAAAAATGAATGGGATGGCTAAAGAATTTCCATAGGTCTAAAATGGCATTTTCATGCAGTCTACTACCACGAAAAATTATTCTGTGCGGAAGCCGAACCCCATCCAGATACTTAAGCCCGCAGCACCGGGGCTCAGTACTACTCGGTACCGCGGCTCAGTATCGCTGACATGGCTCATTCTGATTGATATCCGGATGTAAAGCTGCGTTTGGCGTCCGCACAGAATAATCTCTTGTCTACCACATCGAACTTTGAAAGAGTAAATTTTCATGCCCTTCAAAGTTCAAACTTTAGTTTTGTATTGGCTACAAAGAGGGAAATGCTAAGAACAGCCTCAAAAGCAGTGGTGAAATTATAATTTCAAACAAAAAGGTGCAAAATAACTTCCCATAAACTTAGAGGTGTCAAAACTTCAATAAATGCATGCTTACAGAAGAATTTAATGGTAGAATTTTCATATTATACATAACTATATAGGATTTTCCTCATATCCAAGGGTTCAAGAGAGACCCCACCCTCTCAAATTCCACCATTGCTCAGAAGGCACTAAAGTGGGTAGTAGCTTTTTTATTTCAGTTTACTAGAGATTTTCTCGGCTCATAGATATGAATCATTTCAAATTATTAAAGGCTTTCTCTGTTCATACATCTTTTATCAGAAATAATGAGGGCTTTCTTCACATCAAATGCGAGCGCCTAGTTAACTAGGCATATGCTCAAATTCCATAAACATGCAGGCCAACATGCCAGTTTGAATAAAAAAATTTCGCACCAAATGGTTGTTGACCGTATTGAGTCACTATGGTAGATATCTTTGGAGTGTGGGCTCCGAAAATTCGGCCCCGGCCTCCGCTAGCTCGCTGCTTTTTCTTTTTGTTCGGCGAGGGAGTTTTAACGAACTAAGTTCCGGGATAAATTTTGGAAGGCAGATGGGTTTGTAGATAAGACACTACCCAGAGATTTCGCCCTCATTTTGTGAGGACTTTATGATCTGAGTTCTGGTTTCCTATAGGCGCAAGCCCCTATAGTTAATTACCCCTCCCAATAACGAGAGAGAACTTTCGATTAAGGCTAGCCGTCAATCAGATACGTA